ATGATTATCTTTACAATGATAAACAAGTGACATTTCTAATCGCATAAATTATTACACCATATATTTGTCACAATTACGTTTACTACCTTTCCGTTGTCTGTGCAAATTTGAAACCTTCAATCGTTGATCATTTATGGTGTTACTGTGGTTCTGCATCGTTTTCAAACATCCCTCTTACCATTAGTGTGTCATACTGCTAATGTTTGATTTTTGACTTCGTGTCGTCTTCGATAAATATCATAAAGTCTTAATGTGTTTATTTAATTTTAACCGTGGTCCACATTAACCCCGTTCTTCATGTTTTCTAATTCATTTTTTGACGGTTGCAATAATTGTCCTATTCAATATTTGTCAGTTTTTTATGACTCATATTTTTACATTATTAATAATTGCTGCCACTACCTGTCTGTAGTTTGCACTCACAAGGTTTTTATTGGTGTTCTGTGGGCTCCTTGTCGGAGGCCGATTGCTCGGTTGTGTTAGGGTGGCTTTCATTGAATGCTGTCCTGCCTTGTTGGTCGTTGTTTTCTACGTTTTTATATATTAGTTTTCAGAAATGTCATTATCAAACATAAATATATATGCAAGCATTTCAGCATTTTTATGCAATATCTAATTTTGATAATTGTTATACGCACCATTTGTTCTTCGATGTACTTTTTATTGTAGCATAACAATGAGTCAGTCGGATAACCTGTTAGAAGAAATTTGTGCATATATAAGCAGAAGAAAACATTCGAAAAAGAGATGTGTCTCATTATACATAGCCACCGATAAAGTAGATGTATCCGAGTTTCATACAAAATGTGATTGTCAAGGACAGACAGTCACCATCTTATATGGAAAGTTCAATTCAATTTTTGGTGGTTATACTTCTTAAAATTGGACTTCCCCAGAGAGACCGTGCAAGGTAAACGATGAAGAAGCGTTTCTTTTTACAAAGTACGACTACCCAAATGCAAAATGCCGTTTCATTCCGATAAAGAAAAAAAGGAAGATATAGCAATTACATGTGGTGCAAAATTCGGCCCAACATTTGGGAGAGGACCCTGGGTAAGGGGTTATGATTTGCAAGTCTTCAAACGAGATACCAAGCCAGAATCTGTGTACACTGATCAGTGTTTGCATTTGAATGGTTCGTTAAACATCAACAATGCTTATTCTAATTCAACAAATCAAGATTTCAGCATTAAATCAGAAGACATTAACTTTGGAAAATTGATAGTCAGCAAATTGGAAGTATATCAGGTCATAGGTTAGAAATTGAATTCATTTTTACTGTAAAAGGTTTTTGCCAGATCTGATTTAGTTCCAGGACATAAAACCTTTTTATTAGATTTTGATTGCTTTTATTTTTTTGGTAAATAAATTCAAATTTTATTTTATTTAGCACTTGAATTTGGATTACTATTTTATAACCTAATGTGATTAACTTTCCTTAAATAATTCAATTTTTGAATGAAGCAAGTAGTATAGCTTGAAGAAATACAAATATATATCTGTAAGGGGGTGATGGGTGGGTAAAAATCAACAATTGTTAGCCTTAAATGTGTGTTCAAAATAATTAAATGTTGCTTTACGTCTTTTATATAGATGACGAGTTTCCTGAAAATTGGTTTGAAAAACTGGAGGTAGTAAATTATAACATATCAGCATCTGTTATCAATCGTTGAAATATTCAAAGCTCATTTGATCCGTTAAAAATTGTAAAACTGCAGTTTAAAATTATGTTGATTTTTCTTAAATACTGTATTTAAGCATTGTTTTGAACTATTACAGAACATATATTTTAAATTATTGGTATTGAAATAGCTTCTTTCACTTTTGTCTTAATTTATGCTCGTGTACAATTTAATCATTATCATCACTTTATGGCAAATGTACGAAAGACCGGTAGGGCCATTTCAACTTCATGAATTCTCGATTTCATCTTCATGAATTCACAATTTAAACTTCCTGAATTCAAATTTTCAACATACGGAATTCACGATTTCAGCTTTATAAATTCCCGATTTCAACGTCATAAATTCACGATTTTCACGATTTCAACTTAGCAAATTCATAATTTCAACTTCATGAATTCACGCTTTCAACTTCACGAATTCAATTTCGTGAATTCACGATTTCGACTTCACGAATTCACGATTTCAACTTCACGAATTCATAATTTCAACTTCATGAAGATGAAATCGGGAATTCATGAAGTTGAAATGTCCCTACCTGGCTTTCGTACAAATGTCCAATCTGTTTGATTTCATTTGTCCGAGACAAAACTCAAATATTAGGCTGCTCTAGTAAAATTAACACAATGCATGTATACAGACAAACGAAAAATAATCGTACAGATACAAGGACTTAAAAACTAAACTTGAATTTCTAAATCAATTCTGTCATACAATGTTATAAATTTATCTATAATTTCAAGGGAGAAAAATATGACGCGACTAAAGGAAATCTTATTGATATGAAGCCACTTCATGGATTGAATATCAAACAGTACAATATTCTTCTTGTTGGACCTACCGGAGCTGGGAAATCTAGCTTCATCAACACATTATCAACAGAGTTTACAGGAAAACTTGAAAACATTGCACAGGCAAGAGATGGTCCGATAGCTGTCACTCGCCGGGTATGTCATATTGGTCATTCATAGTTTTGTGTGCTTCGTGGTTATTCAACGAACTATCATTGTGATCATGAATTATAATGATTTATTAAACTAAATTAAGCTTCATATTAAGCTTCATTAAGCTTCATTATACTTACCATCTTAAAATTCCTATTATAATCACAAAGAAGAATATGCATCGGCAGTTGATGGAAAAAACTGCAGTATATCACAGTTGACTGAAAAAAGACTGAAAGAGACCTACATTCAAGCATTAACAAATTTGTTTTCAGTCAGAAAATTAAACTTGTAAACTAAGAGTTTGAAAGACTGTTGATTAAAATGTATTCTAAATATATTTCCTAAAGGTAAAACCATAGTCCATCATAACAGAAAACAAAGACAAGAGGGCCATGATGGCCCTGGATCGCTCACCTGACAAAACCGCATCCAAGCAATGTCTTAAACAAGCATCATAGCCAAGTTTGATGACAACTGCGTCAAACATGTGACCTCTAGTGTGTTATGAAGATTTTTCCATATTTGGGCAATGTGACCTAATTTTTGACCGGACACGCCCCATATTCAAACTTGATCTAGAAATCATCAAAACAACCTTCCTGACCAATTTCCAGGAAATTTGGATCAAAACTGCAGCCACTAGAGTGTTAAAAAGACTTTTCTATTTTTAGCTCCTGTGGCCTAGTTTTTGACTGGACATGAGACTTGAGATGACCCATCTTCGAACTTGACCTAGAAATCATCAAAACAACCTTCCTGACAAATTTCCAGAATGTTTGGATGAAAACTGCAGCCACTAGAGTGTTAACAAGCTTTTCCTATTTTTAGCTCCTGTGACCTAGTTTTTGACCAGAGATGACCCATCTTCGAACTTGACCTAGATATCATCAAAACAACCTTCCTTACAAATTTCAAGAATATTTGGATAAAAACTGCAGCCTCTAGAGTGTTAACAAGCTTTTTCTATTTTTAGCTCCTGTGACCTAGTTTTTGACCGAAGATGACCCATCTTCGATCTTGACCTAGAAATTATCAAAAAAAGTTTCCTGACAAATTTCCAGAATATTTGGATGAAAACTGCAGCCACTAGAGTGTTAACAAGCTTTTTTCTATTTTTAGCTCCTGTGACCTAGTTTTTTGACCGGACATGAGCAATCTTCGAACTTGACCTAGATATCATCAAAACAACCTTCCTGACAAAATTTCCAGAATATTTGGATGAAAACTGCAGCCACTAGAGTGTTAACAAGCTTTTTCTATTTTTAGCTCCTGTGACCTAGTTTTTGACCGGAGATGACCCATCTTTGAACTTGACCTAGAAATCATCAAAACAACCTTCCTGACAAATTTCCAGAATATTTGAATAAAAACTGCAGCCTCTAGAGTGTTAACAAGCTTTTTCTATTTTTAGCTCCTGTGACCTAGTTTTTGACCCGAGATAACCCATCTTCGAACTCGATCTGTATTTCATTGAGACAAACATTCTGACAAAGTTTGATGATGATCCAATCAAAACTGTGACTGCTAGACTGTTAACAACCCAATTGTTAGAGTGTTAACAAGCTTTTTCTATTTTTAGCTCCTGTGACCTAGTTTTTGACCGGAGATGACATATCTTCGAACTTGACCTAGATATCATCAAAACAACCTTCCTGACAATTTTCCAGAATATTTGGATGAAAACTGTAGCCTCTAGAGTGTTAACAAGTTTTTTCTATTTTTAGCTCCTGTGACCTAGATTTTGACCCGAGATAACCCATCTTCGAACTCGATCTGTATTTGACCGCCGCCATGAGAAAAGGGGCACTCGGGCGTATATGACGTAACGTCAAAAACTTCGGGAAAAGGAGAGCGGCTAATGACAGCGATTTTTTCGTCGCCATACTAGTTTCGGTGCGCGAGATTTATAAAGTATTGGCTGTAAATGAATTGTTTGAGGAAATGGACGAATTTGAGGTAAAAAACAAACATTATATTATATTTATTTTTAAAAATTTGGTGTCTAGTCGTCATATTTATTGACATTTTAAACACGTCTGCTGTTCGCTATCGTTTGCAGCTTTAATCCCGGTCTACGAATTATTCACAGCAAAACTGTACATTAATTTTAAATGACGTCACACTTTGCAATTTCTGTCAGTTTATGTCATATTTGTTAATTTAAACTGAATTTTATTAGCGCTGTATTGATTTTTTTCTTTTGACAGCAGTGTTTACATAAATGCTAAGCGACGTGATTCTCTCCTCTGTTTGCTATTTTTAGCAAAAATTATTTTATATAATAAATATTGATCGCTATGATTACATGTGTCCGTGGCTCAGTGGATACAGCGTGTGCGTTACGTGCGCGTCGATCGAGGTTCGAAAACCTCGTTCAGTCTTATTTTTTTTACATTTAATCTTTAAATGTTCTTTCAAATACTTTTTTCGATTATTTTAGGAATTAAATGGATTATTTGAATCATTTGGAGTACCTGCCGAGAAGAGTCCAACATCAACAGAGGTTGATATTCCTGAAGATCTGAGCCAGGAGTTTGAAGTCAGTGACAGTGACCAAGAACAGTCTGACACAGAACAGGTAGTGAATGAAAGGATTGAAGAAGTGATTAGAAATTATGACACTGTAAATTCCAGGGAAATCAGACTCAGACAGAGACACTGATGACGCATCATGTAACAGAGCCTGTAATGTTTGTACGTATAAAGTTGATTGCCTTCTCTAGTTTGACAAAGCTAGTGTTGACAGTCACATACTTTCTATGAGAGAGATTGACAGAAATGAAGCAGAGATGTTCATTACTGGGAGTGTACATCAAATTGCTACTGACGAAACTCTTAAAGGGAAACGCCGGAAACGGACTCGTTTTAGATACACATTTCATGGTAAACCTATCTGTAAGAAGGCATTCATGTATGTAAATGATATCGGATCAAAAGCTCTCCGAAACCTACTTGATCACTTTACTACCAATGGCGCAATACCACGTACCCACGGAAACAGTGGAAGAAAACCACACCATGCCCTCGGTTACAATGAGATACGGTTTTGTGTAGACTGGATTTTATGGTATGCTGATATCAATGGTTTACCTATGCCAGCAGCACCCAGGGGCCGTGACGGGGAAGTCCCTATTCTTCTCCCGTCGAACCTTACAAAAGCTTCTCTACACAGTCAATATTGTCAGGCATGTGAGGAGTCAGATGTACGGAAGCTCGGAATGTCATCATTCAAAAATGTATGGAAAAATTGCATTCCACACATAAAGATAATGTCACCAAAAGATGACGTGTGTCATACGTGTGAGCAGTTGCGACATAGTGTTATGGATGCTGTGACGGAGCAAGCAAAACTTGATGCAGCAAATTGTCTCCGGGAGCATGTGCAGGTATTCTATATTGCTAATTGTTATCTTGTATTTTTCAAAGTAGCTTTTTATTTTCCCTTTGTTACATCTCATGTAAAGTAATACCGTAGGCATAAAAATCATAGATATTTTATATACATGTACATCTTGGACAAACCACAATATATGTTTTACCTTAATGTTTTAGGATGCTCAAACAGAACGTCAGGCGTACATGACAGCGGTTATTCAAGCGAGAGAAGAGATGGTAGGTTTCACCCGACCGACAATACCCGTTGCACCAATTTCCACAGAGTTCAGTAAGTATGCATATGACAGTTATTGTATAAGCTTTAAAGATCTTTTACATGTTTTATGACCATATATAAACGGTTGTTGTATATATAACCGAGCTGTAAGGCAATTGCAAATTACCGTTTACATTCATTAAGAATTAATTTTTTATTACGAACTTATAATAATGCAAACTTTCTTTATTATTAGAAGTAAAATGAAATAAATATATAAATCGATTGCAGCAGTGCATACAGATTATATTAACGTCACGATTATCCGTTGAAAAATGACGTTATAAACGTGCAATATTATAATTATTAGTGCAAAAAACATATTGAGAGTGCTATAGTCTGAAGGCTCCTGTCTTTATATTTGATAATTAAAAAAATGGATTTAACATAAAAAACTGCATGGTTTTTAAATTAACAATTTGGAAAATGCATATGTGATTCATATTGGTAAACTTAGATTAGTCAGAATATGAGTAAATAAAGTCATCATTAGAATAGTCAACATACATGTATAATATAAAAAAAAAAATGCTTAGTATTTTATTGATTAATATTTTGGTCAATTTATCAGGTTCATATCACTTTTGACTACAGTCAGAGTGTGACAATCCCTCATCACAGTCGACAGATGGGACCCATGCATGTACTTTGTAACAGGCAGGAAAATAAATATGTTAGGTATCCGCATTGACTCTACAAGTGAGCAGTTCAACTACTTAATAGATGAAGACCAGTCTATAGGTATGTTAACTATTAACCAAATTTACTTAGAAACGTATATCATGGCAGAATAGGATATGTGATTGGATGTGGGTAAATGTGGGTTATTTTATGCACGTGCAGGCATATTTGTCGTCCTCCCGAAATATAATTATGATCATTGCATTAATGAGTTTTACACTACGCTATATTATTGCCATTTTTATTAATTGATATAAAACTGTATTTCATATAAATTATTGTCACCTTTACAGGTTTAGATGGAACTGGGACACATGGGACCGAATTCAGTATTAAGCATGCTCCATCATTGTTTACAGAATTACGGATTTGGCGAGAAAGGACTTTATCTTCATGCAGATAATTGCGGAGGTAAATCTTGTTTTCACATTAACTTATGAATAAAAATATTCAGCATATTCATTGATTAATAATACTAAAACAAGTAATATAAAGTTTTTTCCGTTCCTTTTTCTTGTTAATAGGTCAAAATAAGAATAGATACACACTGGCGTATCTTTGTTGGAGAGTAAACAGAGGGTTACATGAACACATTCAATTGAATATGGCTATTCCCGGGCATACAAAGTAAGTACCTTGATATATTTATACATAGCATCGTTGCGGCATATTCGTAAGCGTTGGTTATGTTACTAAAGTAATAAAAATCTTTATGTTTCGTCACAAAATTAAATAAAATCCTCATATTTTTTTCAGATATAAGTTAACACATAGTTAAGTAACAGCCTACTCAAAAATATGCAACGAAGTGGATTTTACTACTACAGTGTTTTTATGTTTATGTGATAACTAATTTGTTTGTACTGTCATTCTTTAATTCTTGTACTTTATTTTTATCTAAGGTGTCTTGTCGATGGTGGCTTCGGGCGAATTAAAAAACTATTCAAGAGGTCTGATTGTGAGAGTATGAGTCAATTTGCAGACATTGTGGATAAATCGGCAGGAACAATTTCCCTGTTTTATATCGAAATGAAAACAACTGATCAAACATGGAAATGGTAATTAATTTTCTACAGAGTTTAAACAGATTTTCGATAACTAGTTAATAATATAATGTAGGCTTAAACATTATAACAAGCATGTATAATAATGATGATCACTATCACAGCCACGCCGATCGCTAGCAATACACATACATAGTAGCAACAAACAAAAACGTTATTTGTTTTAAATGCAACAGAAGAAAAGAAATGCAATGCCTAAAATCTTTTTTCACAAAGATGGTATATTTTTCAATAAAGAATATACGTTATATACATTATTAACTGCATTTAATAAAAATAACATTATTTTAACACAGGTATGACTGGAAGTCGTATTTGACGCGATATTTCCTACAAAGTGAAAGGCATACAGAAATATCACTGCTTCAGATTTTCTGCTGCAGACAAGTCGGCTGTGTTTGTAAAGGAAAGAAACAGATAGCGAGGAGAATTAAAGTTCCGCTGATAAGACGTAATACTGAAGTTCTAACAACAACTTCCTTTCGAGGTCATACAGCCCGCAGGATTAAGTTGTACCACGGCGCGAAATATTTTACCGTAACGTTAGAAAATATGTGCGTCCTGCATACCAAGATGCCACGTGCCCGCCATACACTGAAGAGTGATTCACTGCTGCATGCATACAGACTGACTGATGAATTTTTGTTATTGTTTTCAAGTTTCAGTTGTTACCATTTTTTTATAATTAAAGTTTGCTTTTAACATTATTAGGGCCAAGTCTTATAATTATAACATGTAATTGTTTTAAACATGTTTAATTCAAGAATACGATAATTTTGAAAATAGTGTTATAAAAATAGTTTTTAAATTATATTTTAATATCTTACTTTTATATATTTTAGTATTATTCTAGTAAGTGCAAAATTAAAACTTTTGAAACACTTGACCTCATTTGTTATCTGCTAAACTACATTTGACGTCGTCATAATTATTATGACGTTACGTAAATCTGTCGTTGACGTTGCATTAATGTCCTCTTTTAAACCTCTATATCTCAAAAAGTATTTGCAATATCAATGTGAAATAAAGTGCATCGTGCACAATAATGCATGTCCTAAAATATTAGCCATAAAACTAAAAATCGATAAAAATTGCCCGAGTGCCCCTTTTCTCGTGGCGGCGGCCATTTCATTGAGACAAACATTCTGACAAAGCTTGATGATGATCCGATCAAAACTGTGACTGCTAGACTGTTAACAACCAAATTGTTGACGACGAACGACGCACGACGCACGACGACGGACGCCGGACATAGCCCCATCACTATACCTCACCATGACCACTTCGTGGTCAGGTGAGCTAAAAAACTGAATTTATGCATTTACGACATTCGAGGATTTGAGGAAGGAAGGGGATATGGAAAAGAACTTGAACTTCTGTTAGATGGAAGATTGCCTCAAAATTATCAAGTATATACATAAATATATCAGATATATTTGAATCGATATAGTTGCAGATCTTAAATTATATATTTCGTATTATATTAAAAAAATGTAATAATTACAATTACAACATAATTCAAATGACGTTATTGAAAAAAAGATCATATAACTAATTATAGTAGATGGTGTCAAAACTTAGTACCATATACTGCGATAAAAGTTATTTTGAATTGTAATTAACAATGCATAACTAAGTTTTGTTTTCAAATGAGACAACTTATCGGTATCATAGTACGACGTATCATTTAAACGTTGAACTATTTAACTTTTGTTGTTGCCCAAATGCTCAAAGCTTCTTATCTAGAATATTCATTTCATGATTAAGTGATATCATTAATATCAAATGCATCACAATATATCATTTTATTATTATCTTAATTTGTCTAGTTCCCTGATGAGGTAGGAAGTAATGTTATAGATGAAGTAAAAGATCCGTCTTTAAATGAAAAGATTCATTTAGTATGTATAGTGGAAGCGAAATCCTGCTTTGACAGTTACACACCAGAACTTTTAGAATATATTGAAGACATTAAAAAGACGATTACAACCAAAGGTAACACTAAAGATGATATAAACGTCTGAAATAATTGAAACAGAAAATATTATGTACTACTAAATAATATGCTTTTCATAATTTGTTTAAATGAGTGTATTGTTGCTACTTGTGTATATTTTCATATACTAGATGTGTATATTATTGGTTTGTTTAAAGTAATCAGATATGTTTTGAAAATTAAACTTATTTCATTTCATTGTCATTGTATTGTTTATTGTTTTTTTTTTTTGTTTTTTTTTTGTTTGTTTTTTTGTTTCGTTTATATTTAAGGTTTACCCATGGTTGTCATTGCAACAAAACTTGATATTCGCTGTACACACATTTCCAAAAATGTTGATCATCTATTTAGATGCAGGAAAGCAAATGAAGCTGTTTCAGACATTGCCGAATTCTACGGCGTAAAGAAAGGTCATGTTTTTCCGGTAGTAAATTATATCAGCGAAAGCGGACATGTGACAGCTAAAAACCAGTTAGCATTGAAATCTATTTATGACATGTATAAACTGACTAAAGAATATTTGAGTCACCACGAAGGTACTGTATTATTTGTTTACAAGTCTTGTTTATGATACACACATGGTCAAACTGTAATAATAATAATTATGATATGTACATATGCATGTGCAGAGTTATTGCGCCAATATTAGCGTCACGTTTAGCGTGACGCGCCATTTTATACGTTATTGTATTGACGTCATTATATAAGTTGACTTCGGTAAACAATTATTTAAACAACGTTATTGAAGAACCATTGCAATCTTTTGATTATTTAGTGTTTACACAACATTTGGTCCCGCGAACCGGATAACACCATGGCAACAAAATTACGTTCTATACAAAAGGGTCACAAAGGCGCAGTTACAAGACTCCTGAACAAATTCGAGGCAATTTAGCGTGAAGCAGCCGATCACGAGGAACTTGTGACGATCATTGATTCCCTCAAACAGAAACAGCAAACGATCACGGAGATTCACGAAAAGATCCTTGATTCTTTTTAAGACGAAGAGGAAGAACAAATAGAAATAGAAATTCTTGAGCATGATGAGTATATATAAATGTTAAAGACCAAGATACAGAAGATACATGATTTTAGGAAGGTATCAAATTCAAATTTGAACTACAATTCCCCAGTTCTAAACCCTAACACTCAGCCTTTCAAGCGTCCGTATCCAGCGAAACAGCCGAGATTTGTGCGAATACTTCCCAGATGCATTTCTTACCTTCCTTATCTCAAAGCTCAGTATATCACAAATTACCAAAGTTAGATTGGCCGAAGTTCGACGGAAATGTCCTTGACTGGTGTTCATTCTGGGATTCTTACGAGTCTGCTATACACATGAATCGTTCACTTAGCGGAGTACAGAAATTCAATTACTTGAAGTGGTGTCTTAAAAATGAGGCTTTGCAAACAATAGCTGGATTTGCCTTAACGAATGTTAATTGTGAACAGGCTATATGATTATTACATGAGAGATATGGTCAAAAAGACAGAATTATACAAACTTACATGAAATCATTACTTGAAGTTCCAGCACCCATGTACACTCTACAAAGTGTTAGAAAATTCTATGATACAACAGAGACATATATCAGAGCATTAGCTTCACTAAATCAGAATGAGACTACATACGGTTCACTACTTACACCAGTTATCCTTCAAAAACTACCGCCAGAGGTCTGAACAAACATTACACGGGCGCACGAGATACAGTCGTGGTCTTTGCGTGAATTGATGAAATGTATACTGAATTAAATCAATATTTAAGACGCTGGAAATTTGCTGAATACCCCTCAAAACTTCATTCCTATAGCAACTTTTTTAACAAAATCTGATTCCAGTAAGCCGGAAAGAAAAAACACATCTATACCAGGCAATTTACGACATGCGTGTTTTGTGAGGGAGAGCACTCTTGTATAGACTGTGTAAAATTTAAAAATCGTGAACAGAGAATGAATATAGTGAAGGAAAAAAGGATATGTTTTAATTGTCTGGGAAACCACAAGATTACAGACTGTCTGGTTTCGGAGACACAGAGCGTCGCGTGCGACAT